TGGTCAGAAGTGTTTGTGCCCTCATTTGAAAACTGCACTCAAATGTATAACTCTGAAACTCACCACTGCTGATGTGCTGAAGATAAGCCCCTTTCTCATGAGAAAAATTAAGAGGGTGAGATCTAGTTTAAGAGGGTGAATTCTTGTTCATCCCAAAAGTTACATTTGAAAGAATTGACATCTTGTGAATTTATAAAAGAGTCCAGAGGCAAGCATAACAAATGAGGACTGGCTTGCACACTAAGAGCTCTGAGCAGAAATGCTAAGTGAATTTAATATGAGTAGTCTAGACTCTAGAGTAAAACAAAAGGTAGAGGTGGCTGTCTACAGAAATATAATTCACATCAGTTTGAGCAACTTTGTTGGAATCATGAGGATGGAGTGATTGAGGAAGGAGACTGTAGTCAACTAATAGTTGGCTAATAGTGGCCCCAAGAAAAGACATGGGTGACCATTGGCAGGAGGTTCTAGGTGTGAGAGTCTAGAGACTGGATTGCTTGAGAAGCTGAGAAAGGAAAAAGCCAAGAGTGGTTTGTAAGAAGCAGCAAAGTAGGCCCAGTTTTTTAGCTTCACTGTTAATTAAGGTCAAGTTAATCTGTCCATATCTGTGGGCAAGCATAGTTTGCTTTTGGTTTGACGTGTTCTATATTCTAGGGTACTGGGGACTGTTTAGTTTGACTGGAATGGTTGTGTTAATGGTTGGGGTTGCTAGCTGGGATGACAGATTAATTTTCCAATTTGGGTTGCAATCAGTCGTTTTTGATAAGTGCATAATCCTTATAGCCATAATTAGTTTAACCCCTTTATTGGATTATTTGCTTCTGGGAAGCAGCCAGATTATTTAGAGGTAAGTACTGGATTGGATGAGAAGGAAGTGTAACAGGTGCTAGAACTGTTAGCTGTAGGTACTATTTGGGGTTCATGCCCAAAGGATGGGCTTTGGTTTTGGCATATGGAGTAAGGGCAAAAAGTCACAAATAGTGCCCATGTATTCTGTAGCAATGGATATCAGCCCTTGCCATGAAATTGTGCTTCAGAATCTGTCATTTAAAATTAAGTGATGTCTCTAACTCTTATGGTTGTGAAGATAATTTTAAGAATGTGAACTGACTCTGCACTGAACCAGCATAGTCTGTGAGTTGGTGAAAAGTCTTTAAACAAATAGTTCTACCATGTCTGAATGCCCCCGTTCATCTCTATGTTTTGTTAACTCTGAAATATAAAGATGCCAATTTCAAAATCGACACGTAAGCACATTCGTTGAAATATGTAGCTAATACATTAGCAAGCGGTCATCCTCAGGTTCCCATCCCCAAAACTGCTTGTGAAACCTCCAGTTTCCCTCCTCTTTAAAAAAACTCAGTGTTGCTATACATGATGGCTACGTCTAGACTGGCCCCTTCTCCGGAAGAGGCATGCTAATTTCTAACTTTGGAATAGGGAAATCTGCGGGGGATTTAAATATCCCCCGCGGGATTTAAATAAACATGTCCGCCGCTTTTTTCCCGGCTTGGGGAAAAGCCGGAAAAAAGCATCTAGACTGGCACGATCCTCTGGAATAAAGCCCTTATCTTCCATGCCTCCCTCCCTGCCTCCCTCTCTCCCTCACATTCAGGTAAGATGGTGGCCAGGTCAGGGCTTCACGCTCTCATCCCCGCCTCTACACATGGGGGCATAAGATTTGCTTGGGGAGGAAGCGGATGCCTCTAGCAGCCACTCCCCCTGCCTGCGCAGCTGATTTTTGCCCACCAGCGGCATTGGGACTGAGGTGGGGCAGGAGGCCCTTCCCACCCAGGTAAGATGGTGGCCTGGGGGTTCCATGTCTCCCTTTCTTCCCCCTCCGCCCCCCGCCGCCACCTCTACCGCAGAGGGACACACAGTGCAATCATGGAGGTGACTGAGGAGTGTAAGTCATTGAGAATCAGTAGATCGGAGGCTCCTAAGTGCCTCAGTCACTTGTGGAAATTTGTGACTTGTCAAAGGACACTGAGGAAGTTTGTGGCAAGACAGGGAATCCAACTCCATAGGAATCTTTCTGCTGACTGGAGGGGGAGTTGGACATGCTGCGAGGGGGCACAAAGGAGGAGGGGGAGTGCGTGCACTGCCAATGGCCACTGCCCTTGCTCATGCTGCAGCAATAGCCACGCTCCCTAGAGAGGAATGCGGGGATGGAGGGCAAAGGGATGTTGGGTGAGGGCGTGATGGGGTCATGGGGCAAGAAAGTATTGGTATGGGCTGTAGGGGTCTGAGGTTAAAGGTCAAAGGGCATGGGGTGTAGGAATGGGAGTCAAAGGGTGTTAGGCACTGGAGCAGTGGGCTGAGTTGGGGCTAGATAGACAGGTAACATTTTATTTGCATATTTATAAATAAATTATAAATTAATGGAGATTGCCTGTCTCCTAGAACTGGAAGGGACCTTGAAAGGTCATCAAGTCCAACTTTATTATTTGTATAATGAATATGCAGATATGGAAATAAAATGTTACTGGTCCGCCAAAAGTTTGTGAATGGACTTGCCGATCCACGATATAAATAAGATTGGGAACCACTGAACTAACCTGTGGCCATGCTTTCATTGCACTAGCAGCTGATGAGTTGTGTGCACTCAAGCCTTAGCCTACATCCCTTGATGGGCTAGCAAATTCAGATTAAAAAACACTCCCAAGGTTATTGTGTGTAAAATAGAGTTGAGTTAGTGGCAACACTCAAGTTATAACTCAAGTTAATTTTGCAGTGAAAGCAAGCCCGTGTTGTTAATAGAGTTAAACGAAGTTGGATATATCTTTTTTTGGCCAGGATGTTGTAAAGAGAACAGCACTGGTACTCATTCATTAACAAAGAGAAGATGGGAGATAAATTTAGTTTAAAAATTGGGAGAAATAAAACAATGTATACAGTTGGGCCAAAGGAATTCGTGAAATCATTTTCATTAGGTACAGTCAGGGCTAGATTAAACACACAGCTCTTAGCAGTGATTTAGAAATAAATATATTCATCTTGCCATGCTGCATGGGACTGCCATAGAACGTTGCGTCCAGAGTGGTTTATGTCAAATCTCTAAGCCCCACATTAGCGTGTCTTCCACTTGCTAGGGTAACTTGATAACTTTCAGTTGAGTTTGAGTTTCAAGGGACATGGCCCAGTATATGATTTTTATCTGGCACATGTGTGGCTAGCCCCTGTGTAGGCATCTTGAGTCTGGTTGCAAAGGTGAGGAAACAGGATCTCCCACCTCTTTTCTCCTGCTCAAGATGATCAGGATCCTATTGATGAGTATGTTCCCTGCTCCTCTTTGGGTTCTTGTGGATGTTAGATAAGTGAGAGAGAAGAAGGGAAGGAAGCATCATGGGAAGAGTTGGGCCAAACCCGTACCTTCCTACTGCCATCTTTGTTTGCATTTGAAAGAGGGGAAGTATACCCCTTTCAGGGACTGCGTAACTACCACACAATAAACGCCTCCTCAGAACTCCTGTCAGAATTTTGAGAAAGACCTGAACAATATTGTATTGTTCATGGTATCCAGAAGTCCCAAGCATAGTTAAATATTCATTTTGATTGACATTGTACGGATACATATATGAACAAGGTCCCTGTCCCAGGGAGATTATAGTCTAAAACCCCAATCCAGTGAACACTTGTGCAAATGCTTAGCTTTAGTCATGTGCGTTGTTCCATTGGCGTGAATGGGATCACCACAGACATGTACAATTAAGCTTGTGCAACACTGTTTGCAGGATAGGGCACATGTAGCTAGGTCACATAAGAAGCGTCTGTAGGAGGTGGGAGGAAAAAGAGTAGGAACTGAAAATTTAGAAAGGGGAAGAGGAAGGATGTCATGTGCTTAGCATGTGTGTATTTCAGAAACATGAAACTAAATTACTAGTGAAAAGTGGCAGGTGACAAATAACTCTGAAAATACGGCAGACATATTATGTAACAATTATTTTTTGTGACTATTGCTAATGTTGCTCAATTTTGTTGCTCATTAAAATACACAACTTTTTGATTTGGCTAATAAAACAACATACTTCCGCTCTATCAGTCATTCTGGAAGATTTTATGCAGTGAATATCTCCTGTCCTTGCTCTTTGACTTGGTATGTGTCCTTTCTCATTTTAAATGTAGTTAATAATAGAGTTGTAGACATCCCCTGAGCCACCATGTAGTAATTTAATGGCCTATATCCCTGAGCTGGAAGGCCTATATAAGAGTTTAGCTCAAAACCATCAATCATGCACAGATTAAATGAATGGAAATGATAGAGCTTATCCTCTTCCAGAAGCGGTTTACCCTGCTGTAAACCTTAATAGCTGACTTTAGCGCGCATGTGCCTCTCCTGGCATAATTTAGAATTGGGACAATTAAAGATCTGAGGGAAGACATGATTTGTTTACATTCGTGTTCACACAGATATTTTTCTGCCCATGGGATTCTAGGATTGGCATGTGTATCTGTGCACAGACACTGCATAGCAACAAAGAGGGTTTTCAACTGACTGGAAATGTAATGTGCATGCGCTAAAAGCCTTGGACATAAAGAATTCTGATATGGAACAGTATGGCTTTTTTTCCCCCCTAAAAAGTTCATGTTGCAAAGATTTATTAAAAGGGGAAAGAACATTTTATTTCTTCATAGGACTGTATGATAAAGACATCACACAGAAGTTCAAGTGCTTAAGTAAGTTTGCTATAATGCTGATGAAATAAACAATCAGCTAAGATAATGACTAATTATTATGTAAATTTCATTTTAATTCAATAAGGGAAGGAAAGAATTATGGTATTATCAGTTTCAGAAGACAGATATACATCCTGGTAACCCTGGTCCATTCTTAATTACCATTGCAATTAAAATAAATAGAACAGGCATTCATTAATATAATTCAACATCACTATTCTACTAAGGGATAATACAGATATTCCCATGACATCTGGAACTGCATATTGGAATCTTTATCCTCTTTTTGATATTGTATCTTGACAAGTATTTTTCTCTGAATGAGAAAGTATTTTGGATTTTTCTCAGGATGAATTGGATGAACTTCGGGCGGAAATGGAGGAGATGCGTGACAGTTACTTAGAGGAAGATGTTTACCAGCTGCAAGAACTCCGGAAAGAGCTGGACCGTGCAAACAAGAACTGCCGCATCCTGCAGTATCGTCTCAGGAAAGCAGAGCAGAAAAGTTTGAAAGTTGCACAGACAGGCCAAGTGGATGGAGAGCTCATTAGAAGTTTGGAGCAAGATTTAAAGGTGAGTTTAAGGTATTGTATAAAAGGACACAATCTGAGGCTGTCTAGACTGCAGGCTTCTTTCAGAAGAAGCTTTTCTGGAAGAGAGCTTCCAAAAAAACTTCTTCTGAAAGAGAGCATCCACTCAGCAAAAACACATCGAAAAAGCGATCTGCTTTTTCGAAAGATAGCGTCCACACCGAATGGATGCTATCTCCCATTTAAGCTGTGATTACTATGGACTGAGTGGCCACCAGGGCATGTGTGCATTTTCCTCTTCTTTTGAAAGAACTCCCACTTCCCTGTCCTCACATGCCTTTTTCCAAAAGAGCTCTTTTGGAAAACGGCTTCTTGTAGAAAGAGGTATACAAATGTCGGGAAAACCCCTCTGTTGTTTTGATTTTTTTTTTTTTTTTGTTAAAAGAACGCAATTGCAGTGTGGCCATAAGTGAAGTTTTTTTGGAAAAATGGCCGTTTTTCTGAAAAAAACTCTGTAGTGTAGACGTAGCTGTAGACTTTGGTCAAAATGACAGAAATAAAAGTCACATAAAACAATTATTTGGATTTTTCAAAATGTCAGGCCCAGTTTCCCTTATGTTTTTGTAGAAAGCAAATGTGTATCTTTGTCATAAAATAAGGACTTAACTAAATGAAAACTATATACACATTCAGGCCCAGCCTTTGGGCAAGGTGAGCGAGGCGGTCGCTTTGAGTCCCGCGCATTCAGGGCCCCACGCTGCCCAGCTTCCAGCCCCGCCCACTTGGGCGGAAGCCTCGTGGCCATGCAGCTCAGCATGCTGCCTTGGGCCTCTTTGCCCAGGCCTGCACACGTTCAAATGAAAGGGACTTTATCAAGTTACATTTATACCTTCTTCACCTTGTCCTGTCCAATGGGTTTGGCGGCTCTTGTTATCAAGAGCATCTTCCAAGCTAACACCAATCTCCTTCATATTCCTCTTTGGAATCTCAAACTACCTTTTTTGGGTTCTTGTTTATGGTCTTTGTTCCATGACTACTAGCTCTCTTCTTCTCTGGCCTAGGGATGTAAGCGACTAGTCAACTAGTTGACTATCCGATAAGCATATGCTTATTGGGTAGTCAAGTAGTGACTTGACTAGTTGCTCCCCCCCACCTTGTTACCTCTATCAGAGAGAGGCAGCAGGGGTGTAGGAAGGGGTGAGAGCAGGAACTGGTGCTGGGGTGAGCTATCTTAAAATCTGGTTCCCCCCAGCACCATCTGGGGGTTCAGGAGAGGTAGAGGCATAGCTGGGACCAGCTGGGAATCAGGTAATTTACCAGCTTGCTCCTAGTCCCCCCAGCTGCGCCTCTGATTTTTAAATGTATTAAGAGTCTGGTGATTCTTTATACAGGTTGAACCTCTAAAATCCGGGACCTTCTAGTGTGGCAATATCCGTGGTCTGGCAGGACCATGGATATTGCTGGACCAGAGAGCCCTGGCTGGCCAGGTTCAGAATCCTAGCCCAGGCTGGGCTGGCATTGGGGAGTTCAGCCCAGTGGAGCCAGCGTGCAGGAGAGCACAGCACTGGCTAGGGCTGGTGGCAAGGACCGCAGTCCCAGCAAAGGCTGGAGATAGTGGGGCCAGGGGCCAGGAGCACAGCCATGATCAGGGCTGGCACGGTGGGAAGTGCAGCCTCAGCTGGGGCTGGAGACCGATGGGTGTGCAACCTGGACCAGTGCCATGGGGGTGGGGGTGCAGCCTCTGCTGGGGCTGGAGGCAGTGGGGCTGGCCCCTGTCCAGAGCTGGCGCAATGGGGGACACAACCCTGGCCAGGCCTGGCACAGAGTGAGGCGGAGGCAGCGGCAGGGGGCAGGAAACGCAGCCCCCATCTGGAAGCAGAGCTAGCAGATGGGTAGGGAGCCTTGACCTCCCCTCGTCTGGCAAACTCCATTGTTAGGGACCACTCAGGTCCCGAGGGTGCCGGACAAGGGAAGTCCGACCTGTTCATTTAAAAAGCAGAGGCGCAGCATCTGGGACCGGGTGTGAGCTGGGACAGCTGAGTTATTAAGCTCTGAAATGCTTAGGGATATCTGTCCCTAAGCATTTCTGAGCTTGATGTGTCGAGTGAAATGCTTTGATAACTCTAAAGTTCCCATCTTCATTTTTTCTCCTGGAAACAAAAATGTACCTTCTCCTCTCATCTGGGTATTCAAACCTGGGTTTAATAATTTAAATGGAAGGTGCTGGGATTATCCAAGGCTGTAATGTGTATGTATATTGCATGTTTAGGAAGTTAGGCCCTTATGTGGTGTTCATGCTATTCTAACCAGGTAGCCAAAGATGTATCTGTTAGACTGCACCATGAACTGGAGAGTGTGGAAGAGAAACGTGTTAAAGCGGAAGATGAGAACGAAATCCTTCGGCAACAGATCATTGAGATGGAAATATCCAAACAGGCACTACAAAATGAGCTGGATAGGTTGAAAGAGGTAAGCACCAGCCAGGAAAATCATGCAGAACCATGTACTTGGTTAAATGGAAAGCTTGTTATCCAAGAATCTTAGACTATATCTGAAACAGTATGAATATGAAAATGTGTGCTGCTTTTGGAGCTGTGGATACAGTTGGCACTGATAATCATCTACAAAAAATTTGTATGTACATGGTAGTGTTCATAATTTAGAGATTATTGAGAAGCAGTCAGCTGTTTTTAAGTGTCATCATGGTGCTTACATCCCATATTACACACTATGGACTAGCTCCCCCATGCCTCAAGTTTTACTCAGGCAAAATGATCATTGACTTTACTATGATAATGTAAGATCTGGGAGTTTGGTTTATGTTAGAATTGAGTAAATCCTACAAGATTTGTTCCTGAAAGGTTAATTTAGATTTACTTGGCTTACATTATTTGCTGACATTAAAGAGACTACTTGCTGAGTAAGGCAGGTAGGAGTTGGTCTGTAATGCACAAAAACCATTGAATTGAGAAACAAAAATGCTGTGTGTTAGGAAAAGGAATAATTTCTATTGTACTTGACACATATTCATAATAATGATGCTGCTTGGAAGGAAGTGAGGTGAGATATGGGGAACGCAATAAAGGAAAACAGAAAAACTAATGTGGCCCATACCCTGATCTATAGTAGTATTTTGCCACAGTACAGCATGTTGACAGTCCACTGTCTCTGATCTTTCTTGAACCAGATTGAGAGAGAATATTAAACGTAATGAGGTAAGGCATTTATCTTCTGAGCTCTGGACAGATATAGAGAGCTGGTTTCATTATATGTTTATTTTAATCTTTCAAACAATGCTTGTGAATCAACTAGCACAAGGCCTGATTCATCTGTATAAGGTTGACAAACCATATTTAATTTCTGTGTGCATTTGAGTTATGAGGAGAATGTGTTCACTGCAACAGTTTTGGAGCTTAGTATGCATAAGTAGCAGACCTTCAGTTGGTGTAAACTTCTGTGCTGTAGTGTTAGTTTATGCCATCTGAGGATTTCCCCCAATAGGACAGACTGGCTGATGTTTTAGTTATAGAGGGGTTTGTTTGTTTTTTACTTTAAGCTATTTTTAGATGATGTGCTTACAGGTTGCTAAAAGTCATGGCAGGAGTATTCCTTACAAAACTATGTGATCCAATATACAAGCTATTTTTTATAACTAGCTACGTGTTATTCTAATGTACTGGTTATCACGTTGTAGTTCACAGAACTGGTCCATAGGGGGAAGTGTTTTGAGAACCAAGGTATGGGCTGATCAGAACAATGGGAAACCAAACAGGAAAAAATTCTCTAGGGAAAGAATGGTAAAATAGGATTCAGTCAAGCGGAGCACCTGTGAGGGAGCAGGTATGGCAAAAGCCTTGAACCAGTTATTGAAAATGTGCATTTGAAAATGTACATTCAAAAAAATATTTGTATGCATTGAGTGTCCAAGATTAACTTGGCACTGAAAATGAAGACATGATTTCTGCCCTAAAGAGCTTACAACCAAATAATTACCACTTCTCTTCAGCATTATTGGTAGAGACAAAGCTGTATAAGAATATACTGTAGACATGCTGGGTAGAAAAGTTAGTCCATTGGTGATCAGGAGAAAAGCTAGTTTAGAAAATCCTTAATCTTTTGTATGTTTTAGTGCTCTTGGAGATCTTTGTAAGGAGTGATGATGGCCTCTAAACCAGGAAGCTGTACAACTATTTTTATCATCCTTTAAACAAACAAAAAAACAAACAAGGCTTCTGCTCAGATTGCTGTAATCTATCATTCTATGTTTGTGTTTTATTCTGGAAGGAGTGGGAAAGAAAGTGTTTCCCACTCAAGATAAGAATAGTAGTACATACTGAGACACAAACTTTGGTCCTCTCACATGGCTGTAGCATTCACTTAACCAGAGAACGGATGCTCATTAGCTGTGCAGATAGGAGACAGATACTAGGATTTGACATCCAGCACTGGACTTCACAGAGCTCTGCATTGTCAGAGCATCCTTCAAACATGTACAGAAAGAGAGGAGAAGTAGCAAAGTGGGGTGTCAGGGAAGGGGCATCCAATCTACAGTTATGTGGGGTGAGATGGATGTGCACTGGTTGTGAGGACTGTTATAGCCCTGTGGTTGCAGTAGTGACTGTAATGTCCCTTTGTGACTGTTGTGCAGGATGGGGAGTAGGACTATTCCTTGCTCCCAACCCCAGCCTCTGGCAGAAGTTTCCGTGTGTAGTCAGGCCCTAGAGTCCATGTACTGGGATCTAGGTCTTGGCTCTTATGGTTGGATAATGTTGTAGATAAAATAGTGTTTAAAAGCCCCTGTAATAAGGCTGCGTCTAGACTGCAAGCCTCTTTCGAAAAAGAGCATCTAGACTACAACCAGTACTTTTGAAAAAGCAAGCCACTTTTTTGAAAGAGAGCACCCAGGCAGTCTGGATGCTCTCTTTTGAAAAAGCACAGTTTGCATTATATAGTGCCTTTTTTTGAAAGAGCACTTTCGAAAAAAGGCATTTATTCCTCATAAAATGAGGGTTTCCGTGGTCGGAAAAACAGCCGCGTTCTTTCGATTTACTTTCGAAAGAACATGGCAGCAGTCTATACGCAGGGGAAATTTTTTTTGAAAAAAGGCCACTTTAAAAAACAAAACAAAAAAAACCCTGTAGTCTGGACACACCCTAACAGAATGTTGAAGTTGTGAAGCTCCGTTCTCATAAGTTAGGAAATGCCAGAAGGAAGGCTACCTGTGAAACCATAATGTGCCCCCCTTGTGCAATCATAATTTGGCCCTGTTGGTGCATGTGCATTATGACAGTCTTTTAAATTACACAGTTGCAATTTTTCCCCACAGGAAATCCCCTGCCCTAATCAATGCACAGAATGGATGGTGTTCACTGAGTGGATAGTTAGCTTAATAATCACATTTTTGTGTGTTATCTCTTCAGTCTAGTAGACAGAGATATAACAAGATCCAATGTCTGGAAGCTGAAGCTAGATAAATTCAGATTGCAAATAAAGTGAAAAAATTTAACAGTGGGGGTAACTAACTGTGGGAAAAATGTATCAAAGACAGTGGTAGATTCTTCGTTACTGGTGGTTGTTAAATTAAGACTTGATGTTTTTGTAAAAGATATGCTGCAGATCAAACAGGAATTAGTTCAGGGAACTCCTGTGGGATGTGTTCTACAGAAGGTCAGACTAAATGATCACAGTGGTCCCTTCTGGATTATAATCTATGAATTTCTCTTTATCTTCATCATTCAACATCTGACTCCACCATCCAAACACTGCGCTGGAGAGAATTATTGATTTCTTCTTGGGGGCTTTCTTATGGTGCTCTCATTATAGTACCCAACTGCTTCACAAACGTTTAATGAATTTATCTTCACAATGCTCTTAGTATTATCCCAGGTTTAGGGATAGGGAACGTATGCACAGAATAGTCAAAGGTATCAACTCCCCTATCTGACATGCCTAGGACCTGATTGTTTCTGAATACTTAGCATTTTATAGCATTTATATATTCTGTGCCAAGCTCCCATTGAGCTGAGCTGTAGCTGTAAGTGCTTAACAAATCAAACCCTAGTTGTCTCAGTTTGGGTACCCAAAAAATTGAGGAACAGACAGTGACCCCCTGTGAAAATGTTAATTTATATGGTTTGACCAGCATCAAACAGAAACTCTGTGGTAGAGGCAGAGGCAGAACTTTACTTTTTAGGGCAGCATTCAAATGCATTACCACAAGACCCTCCTTTCTCTTCTGCAATTCCCTGCCTCATTCACCACACATCTTCCAGATTCTGGATCTTACAGACAGCAGCAGCAGCCTCCTTCACAACACAATCCTGAGTCAACCCCAGAGTGAGTCAACCCTAGAGTGGATGCATCCCATGGACTAAATGAGGCAGCGATCCTGTGAGAGAAATAGTATGTGATCATGTAATTGAAGACTACATTGTAATGTGTGTTCACAAGGAGGCCTCATTAAGTTTGCACAGGCAACCTCTAATTCAGTCATTTCCTAACCTTTGCATTCTTGACTTTGCATTCTTTATAGTCTTAGAAATGGCAAATGAACCATCCCTGCTCCATCTTGCACAAAAGTATTGAAAATGCATAGAACCTGCTTCTTTTCCCTGAGAGGGGAGTAAATGGTGTCTCTTATTTGCAGCTGCTAAATGTATATTTTGATGTAGTCTTTGTGCTTGAAGTTTTCAGTCAGGAAAGAAAAAAAAGAGTGACATGTCAGGGCTCAAGCTGCTTGAAAAGGGGTAGAGGCCTGCTGAAAAGGACAAAGAATGGGGAGGATTAGAAATGAGGTAGCAGCTGCAGAAAGATTTGCCACAAACGTTATAAAACGGTTTAGCAAGAAATGAATGAGATTGTGTAACCAGGGAGAAAGGGGGATTTATTTTCTGTGGAACAGCCGTAGTGAGCAGCTGTAACTTACTCTGTTGCCGTTAAAGGCATAAGGACCTGGGGGAAGAGCAATCTGAGACTGTTACTTTCTCTCTCATTGGGGGCTGTGACGTAACTGCCTTATCTTAGTCCCCTTGCCCTGCTTAAGACCTCTGTGACAATGCAGAGAAAAAATCATTTGCATTTAGAATTCTTCCAAATGAATT